GGGGTGGGATGGCTAGCTCTAACTGTAAAGTGTTTTTACTCAGGTTGGAGTTTCGATTCGGGACCAAGTGCATCTTGTGCAGAATTTTTTGATGGTACCGAACCCGTTTTCCAAATTTGCTGCGGGCTTTTATTTAAAAAGTCATTTTTGGTGCAAATTAAGCTTGAAGAGCCAAACATTCGGATCCTGGTCCACTATTCCCTCCATCGTTCTGCATTTCCCAGGGGCCGTGAAGTACTCTGTCACAGCTCCCCTCCCGGTTGGCACCATGGTGCATTGGCAAAGTACTCGCTTGCCAAGCGCAGGGCTGCGATTCGGATCCCCGCTCTGCACCCTTCTTTTGCTTTTTGCATAAAAAAATTTATTTTTTTATAAAAAAGCTTGTTTTGACTGTTAAGATGCTTGTCTAGCCAATCTCTTACCAATTTTTAAGTTGAAATTGATCAAGAAAATCGAAAACGATAACGGTTGCTTGATTTTGGTGAAAAACACTACCATAATTGCCATATAACTTTCAAAATAAAAGTCCGCAGCGAAAGCGGATTCGGAATCAGCGAAAAATTCTGCCCAATATGCACTTGGTCCCGAAACAAAACTCCAACTTGAGTAAAAACACTTTACAGTAAAATCGTCGAGTGGCCTAGTGGATGCCGACCGGCGATCGACCACTCCTATCCTCGATACGCGCTTTTCGGATTTGGATTTACTGGTCTTGTTTATTTCGTCTAAAACGAGTAACTTGGCGCGAAATTCAAGTGTTGCTTCAGCAAAGCGTTGATATGCGCGGCATTTCCGTAGTAGCTGAAATCGTACGGCAGATTTGGAGGTCGGGCTTGGCTGAGGGTTTTCATGCACTACAATAGGATAGACGATTTGTTTCCATGAATATTACCTGCTGAGCCTTTTCGACGCTTTCGAAAAAGATGAAGCCGATGATGCCCTTTTCGGTGCGCAACCGCTCGATGTGAGGTCTGAAACGCGGGTTGGATAGCTTTACCCCGACGCCATAAGAAAAGGCATAGGCGCAGCGAATTGCAGCCGATGTTCCGTTACCTTCAGGGTTGGTCATTTTCGGATCGGACTGGATCCGGATCTGGATCTGGATCGGATCCGGATCCAGATCCAGGGCGGATCCGATCCGATCCGGATCCAAGGAAATGGATCATGCAACCGAGTTAAGTGCTAATTCTTAGATGCAAAGAGCAGTTCTGCCTCTGGGCTATGTATTTTTGCGATTAACATGACCGAATCAGCATCAGAATCGAGAATATTACTTCCGGTCCCTTTTTTCCTCGGATCCGCATTGGATCCGGATCCGAGCGAACCCGGATCTGGATCTGGATCCGGATCCTACTGCGGGTCCGATCCGGATCCGGATCCAGACCCGATCCGGATCTTTACTGATCCGGGTCCATCGGTGAACAACCCTGGTTACCTTCCATTCCTCGTCTCGTACCCGGCATCCCAGCTCGGCGTCATGATTAGCAATTCGGCATCAGTCACCTGCTCTGGGAGCCAGCTTACGCATAAAATTCGCCGGTTCGTGTCATTCGTGTCACCAGAGGGGTCCGGTAGACCAAGTTTTGAAGCCTCCTAAATTGACTTACGTTCGTTGACAAACATTACGTACAATTTTATTGGTTTGTTGAAGTGGCGCCGCAACACCCTGTGGTTTTGGTGGTTTTGCCTGGTCAGGCTTGAGCAACGGGTCGTCGGCCTTCTTCGGTTCCTGCGACCAATTTTGTAGTTTTTGTAAATCCCGAAAAAAATCGTCTGAACTTACAACGCTTTTTGGAGCCTCGACAGCAGTGGTTGGCTTTTTCGTACATGCAGCATAAGCAACTTTTATCTTCTGTCCGGCATCCAAGACGTCGTTCCATTTTTGGAAGATCTGAAAACAGCATAAACCACTTCCTTGAACGTACCTTTTCAGCCGCCTGCACATTTTCCAAATACGCGACGCACCTCTGGGAATTTTCGCCAGACAGCCGCAGCATCATATCCGGGTTAAATTTGTAATTCTTAAAAAACCAATCACCATACTTTTCGTCCCAATGGATCAAATGTTGGCCCTTGATTAAAATCTTCTCGATCACTTCCTCGTGCGAATAATCGATTGGGATATTTTCGATGACGATTCTCGTTCGGTTATACTGAAATTCAGACTACGATTAAGCTAGGCGAATTACCAACTGGTCCGCTAATTTTTTGTTTTCAGCTTGAAGTTTTTGGCGGTGCCGTCTCTCCTCGGAAGCCAGAGCCTTGAATTTCTCCATCTAAACAGCGTTGTAACGTACAGGGTGTCCCAAAAAAACGACCCATCTGGCATTTCGCCATGTTACATCCAATAGGTCCCAAATCGGGAACAAAGGTGTATCAGACCCTAAATAACAACAATCCTGACTTATAGCCCTGTAGCTACGGTTGTTCTCGAGTTAGAACGAAAATCCTGTTTTTCCCGGAATTCTGAACGGTTTTTTTCGGCTATCTTTTTGGACTTTGCATCGATTTGCATCGGCTTCCGGCTGCGAATCCCTAATTTCGCATAAGAACCTGGGTAATTTTGCGTTGTGAAAATAGCTTAAATTGAAGCTTATTTAATCAATTTTACTCTGGAAAAAATTTCTTTAAGCAGAAAAGGCCTACCGGATCATTTTCACTTAATGTTTAGGAGGTCTAATTCCACGAAAAGCCTATGAAAAATGGAAAATCAAGTTTATTTTCGTTATAACTTTAAAACTACTGTAGCTACGGGGCTAAAAGTCAGGATTGTTGTTATTTAGAGTATGATACACCTCTGGTCCAAATTTGGGACCGATTGGATGTAACACGGCGAAATGCCGGATGGGTCGTTTTTTTTTGGGACACCCTGTATGCCACGGCATACCTCGACAGCCATTAACTCCTTTTCCATGACGCTACGTGTTTTTTCTTGTTCCTGGAATACGAAGTTTTTGTTTAAGATGCAATTGCCAGTGTCACCAATCACCAATCTACCTGGAATTGCTTCAGACGTGGGATGTCGACATTTCGTAGCGTTTTCAGTTGTGTCTCTAGATTTTTGATCTGCTAGTTGGCATAACTAAATCATCGGTTTAAAACAAAAAAAAGTACCTGTGCTAAGTAGGACTCCTTATCTCGGTTCCATTTGATTTGTGAGCCCGACTGCAATGTGAGGGTTTGATTTGATCGATCATAAAGTGCGGAATTAATAGAACTGAGCGGACAAAAAATGAAGGTACAGGGTGTCCCAAAAAAAGTCCCCCTCGGCGTTTCGTCGTATTACATCCGATTGGTCCCAAATTTGGAGCAGAGGTGTATCATACCGTAAATAAGCACAACCCTGAGTTATAGCCCCCTAGGTACAGTACTTTTCGAGATACAATAAAATAAACTTGATTATCCATTTTTTAATAGGATTTTCGTTGGAGCCGACCCTTAAAGTATTAAGTGAAACCGATGCTGGAAGCCTTCTTTACCCCTAGAAATTCATTTCCGATAAAAATTTGACAAAATTAACGGTGTTCCGACAAGGTGTTATCATTGTAACTTCGATACAAATATAGTTATAACTACGAACCATCGCCTTCTTTACATTCGCGAGCTGCTTTTCCAGTTCGTCATAGTCGTCCATTAGCTAAATTGTGCAAATTAAAAAAAAACCTAGTTAGACCCGCCTCGTCATACTCCTTCCCTGACACCGTATCAGCTGCTGTTGCGGTCTAGGATAATTTTATAGGCAAAAACCAGGATTGAAAAGCCGCTTCGCGATTTTTCAACCCTGGCCCCGTCTGACCCCATTTTATCCTTCACTTTGCATAATTGCCCTGATTTCAGAAGACAAAAAATGAAAAACAACCCGTTCTGCCCCTTCATACAGTCGAATCCCCACTTCTGATCTATGCTAATCGTTCCCTAACAAAGAAGTTTTCACAAAAACTTAAATTTAATGTCGAAAACAGCCGATTTTGCAAAATCTGATAAGTGTGCGTTCATCTCAAGACCTTTGCACACCTAACGACGTATCATACATACCTTAAAATTGATCCCCTATCGAGATGTCCTCCGGACAGACAGACGGAAGTGGATGCAAAGTGGCACACACACAAAGACACAGACAGTACAGGGTGTCCCAATAAAAAAAGGTCACGCTGGCATTTCGCCATTTCAAATCTGTTTGATCTGAAATTTGGAACAGAGCTGCGGAAGGGAATTTAAAATGTTCACAGAAACTTTCAGCCCAAACGGTACAGTAGTTTTCGAGTTATAACAAAAATACTGTTTTTTCAACACTTTTGCTTCCTTTTCGGCTATCTTTTTTGACTTTGCATCAATTACCATCAATTTCGGCCCTAAATCCCTCATTCTTTTTAACATCGGGGATGATAACACCTTGTTAAAATTACTTAAACAACCTATTTCCAAAACGAATTTTACAAAATAAAAAATTTTCTGGGGCAAAAAAGGGACGGCGCTCCATTTTTGCCATACATTCCAAGGCTCAATTCCGGCGAAATCCAGGTTAAAAACGTAAAATAAAGTTTATTTTTGCTATAACTCGAAACCTACTGTTCCGATCGGGCTGAAAGTTTCTGTGAACATTTTAAATTGCCTTCCGCAGCTCTGTTCAGAATTTCAAGTCGATCGGATAGGAAATGACAAAATGCCAGCGTGAACGTTTTCATTGGAACACCCTGTATTTTTTTGTATATAGCAGATTACTGGACTGACCTGCGCCTCCTTCAATTTGCGAAGCTCGTTATTGAGTCGGCACACTTCCGAGTTCTAAAGTTAGAGTTCATTTTTAGTGCCTGCGGCGCGGAGGCCGGCGTCTTGCCAAAGCCTGCGGCGCAGACTTGTGGTTCGACGCCCTTCCTTACCGCGGGCAAGTTTGGACGGCTAACTTTCTTCCTAAGCCCACGGCACTAACTTCAGTGGTCGACCTGAATATGCAGCCTGCGGCGCTAGTTTCAGCCGCTAAGCTTGTTCCAAAGCCTGCGGCGCAAACTTGAGCTGCTAGCTTGATTTTTTAGCCTGTGGTGCTAGTATAATATTTTAGGGAAAAAACTAGACTGACCGGCGCCGCCTTCAATTTGCGAAGCTCGTTATTGAGTCGGTACACTTCCGAGTTCTTAACTTTAAGCTGATTCGATGCAACTTTTTTGCAATTACCTGTGCGCTTAATCTGGATTGCAACTGCATTTCGTTGCGCCGGGAGGCCTCCTGAAAAAATCCAGATGGGCGAAACGTAAGTCGTGACAAAAACCGGACTTGAAAGTTGCCCTTCAATAACCTTGAGCTCCCCGGATAAATTCGATCAAGATGATGTTGTCAAGGTTGAAAATTGAAAGAAGCAAATCCGGAACAACTCACCCATCTAAGGACTGCTTGGCAATGCAGAGCATCCGCTTTTTTGTATTCGCCTTCCCAATCTCTCGCCGGGGTTTGCTAAAAGAACAGTTTCGATCAAAACTAATTAGTTTTTCTTGCAGCTGCTATCAATAAAAAAGATATAAAGACCTGAGCTATTTATGCTCAAAAGTACACAATTCTAAGAAATCGGTCTTCCCCCCGCGGTTGTTGTTGAATGGAGGAGACCTATGTCGCGTTCTAGAGCAGCAGTTTTGTTTGGACCTCAAAATTAGCAAGCTGAAGGCGTACCCGACATTACTCGCTTACCTCAGTCGAAGCTCCCACTCCCATTTTGGTTTGTAAAAAGATGCGGAAGACCCTCATAATGATGTGTTCGCCCCAAAAATCCGAAATATCTATTCTCCCCGGAAGTTTCGAGAAGTCGCTTATGGAATGTGCACGATTCAATACTAAAGATTTTTGCCAAAATCCTACCATCATCAAAATATTGCGGCTTTTTCCAAAGCTCGTGTTTCCGATCCACATAATTATGCGTCCACTACCGGAAATCAGCCAAATCGAAAAAGCTTGGCGACATGACGGTGGACAGCATTCCAAGACAGTTTGCGACAAGCTTCTTTTTGATCGATTTTCCAAAGGTGGAAACATGAATATATGGATCGGAAAACGCGATTTTTTTTGAAGAAACCACAATATCTCGGGTTTTCTCCAAGCGCGCTCGGAAAAAGGATATGTCGGATTTTCGGGGCGAACATATAATTATGAAGGGCAGTCTAGTTAGTTTATAGGCAAGTTTTGTCGTTTGACGAGCAATATAATGGGACACCTGGACGCCATTTCTAAGACTGATAACAAATGTTTGGGTAGC